GGTCTCAGGTTCGATTCCAGGTCAGGGCACATACCCAGGTTGTGTATTCAATCCCCAGTAGGGGTTTGTGCATGAGGCAACTGATTGATGTTTCCCTCTCACATTGATGTTTTTCTTTCTCTCTCTCCCTCTCCCTTCTCTCTCTTCCCTCTCAGTGAAAAACATATCCTCGGTTAAGGATTAAAACACACACACACACACACACACACACACACACACACACACAGAAATGAGCTATCTAAACCACAAAAAGACATGGAGGAAACTTTTTAAAAAAAAGAATATGTTTTTATTGAATTTTTAGAGATAAAGAAAGGGAGAGAGAGATAGAAACATTGATGAGAGAGAAACATCAATCGGAAGCCTCCTGCACGCCCCCTACCTGGGATGGAGCCCGAAACCCAGGCATGTACCCTGACCAGAAATTGAATCAGGACCTCTCCGTCTATGGGAGGACGCTCAATCCCCTGCGCCACACAGGCTGGGCACTTGGAGAAAACTTAAATGCACATTGCTAAATGAAAGAAACCAATTAGAAAAGGCTAAATACTGTATGATTCCAACTGTATAGCATGCTGGAAAGGCAAAACTATAGAGACAGTAAAAAAAATCATGGTTTTGAGGAGTTCACAGGTAGGGAGGGATGAATAGGTGGAGTATAAGATTTTTAGGGCAGGGAAACTATTTATATAATACTATAATGATAGATACATGTCATTATACATTTGTTGAAACCCAAAGAATGTGCAACAAGAGTGAACCCTAGCCCTGGCCGGTTAGAGCATCGGCCTGTGGACCAGAGAGTCCCAGGTTCAGTTCCCGCTAGGGGCACGTACCAAAAAAAAAAAAGAGTGAGCCCTAATGTAAACTATGAACCTCGGTCGGTACTATGGCAATGTTGTTTCGTCAACTACAATAAGTGTTCCCTCTGACACAGGATATTGAGAGTGGAGAGGGAATGAGCAGGGAGAATGTGGGGGGCTCCATACTCTCCATTCAGTTTTGCTGTGAGCCTAACATTGCTCTAAAAGATCTATTTATTAAAAAGAAAGTATTACAAACAAAAAAATAATTCAGTAAGATATCTGGTTTACAATTGATATTCTGCAATTATAGCTTTAACATTTATAAATAAATAATTAGAAAAACTAATGGAATAAAATAATCTATTTACAAAAACAAAACAACAACACAAACAATAACAACCAGAAAATGAAATAACTAGGACTAAACTTAATAAGATTTATGCAATACATTTATGAATAAAACTTTAAAATTCTATTAAAGGATACAAAAGATGATCTGAAGAAATGGAAAGACATATCAGAGTTTTAGAGTTTTAGAAAGTCCGTTTACCCTACGTTGTATAAAATTAACAAGAGTCCAATAAAAATACCAACAGGATTTTTTTTGATAACCAAATAATATCTAAAATGAGAGGGGACCAGACCTATGAGAGATTGAAGTGCCTAATTTTGTAAAGAGCTATAATGAACTAGTGCAGTACTGGCTTAGGAATAGACAGATCAATGAAACAATATAGAAAGTACAGGAATATATTAAAATATAAGGGAACCTAGGATGTGATAAAGCTAAAATTCAAAATCAGTGGAGGAAAACTATTCAGCGTAAAACAGCTAGGCAAATGGATAGTCATCCAAAAAAGAAACAGGGTTGTATCAATACCTCATACTTCACAGCAAAATAATTCTGAGATGAACCAAATATGTAAATATTTAAAAAATGAAACCACAGAATACAGAGGAAACCATGGAAGCATTAAAAAATAATTTTGGCCCTGGCCAGTTTGGCTCAGTGGTTAGAGTATCGGCCCTCGGACCAATGAATCGCGGGTTTGATTCTGGTCAAGGGCAGATTAGTTGTAGATCGTCCCCAGCCCTGGTTGGGGTCCTGCGGGAGGCAACCAATCGACGTGTCTCCTTCACATCAATGTTTCTCTCTCTCTCCCCCCACCCTCCACACTCTATCTGAAGATAAATAGAAAAATAACCTTGGGTGAGGATTAAAAAAATAATAATAATAAAATAATTTTGAAGTCCTGGCCAATTTGGTTCAGTGGTTAGAGTGTTGGCCCACAGACCAATGTATATTTTTAAAGACACATACACGTGAAAACATGCACACTTGACAAAAATGTGCCAAACACATTAGAATAGATGCCCCTGGTGGAGTGGGGTATGGCAGGTGGGGACAGGAGTTGGGCCCAGGGATAAAGGGGGCAATAAAGAAATAAACTGGAAGAATGGCCTTGTGGGATGATGATGATGATAAACTCTGACCTGAGGCGGATGATAAACTCAGAGACAAACTTGATAGCAATCTCTCCTATTAGCATAAAGGTTTGTGCATGTGTTAAATGACTCTAGCTGTCATGTGGCCTGCAGACAGAAAATTCTCCCAGAAAATTGCAATCAACTGGGGGCCTGCGTGCAGCTCTATAGGTGGGCATTGCCATTCCTGGCACTGGGCACTAGGTCAGCTGCCCTGCAGCCCAGACAAATCCCCCTCAAAACTGGCATCTCTCTGTCTTGTGGGAGCTGCTGTACTGGACCATCCAGAGACTGGCTTCAGCTCAACTCGAGCTTCTGGATTTCTCGAGTAGTAGGTTTGAAATCCTGAGAGCTAAAATCTCCAGGGCAGGTTCCAGGGTGGTGGAGACTTCTCTCTGTGTCTCCACTCCGTCTCCCATTCGCTCAGGAATGTCTGCGTTGGGAGCAGGTCCAGCCCTGAGATGGACCACGAGAAATCTCAGAAAGAAATGGGCCCAAATGACAACCTTCAAAGTATCAAGAAGAGGAGTTTTTTTTAAAAACATGAAGTTGCCTAAGTACTTGAATAGACATTTCTCCAAAGAAGATATACAAATTACCAGTAAGCATATACAAAGATGCTTAATATCACTAATTATTAGGGAAATGCAAATCAAAACCACAATGAGATACCACTTCACACCCATTAGAATGGCTATTACAAAAAAGAAAAAGAAAATAACAAGTGTTAGTGAGAGTGTGGAGAAATTCGAACCCTTATATGCTGCTGGCGAGAATGTAAAATGGTGGAAAACAGCATGGAGATTCTTCAAATAATTAAACAGAATCACCATATGGCCCAGCAATTCATTTCTGGGTATATACACAAAAGAATTGAAAGCAGGATCTCAAAGAGATATTTGTATTCCTGTGTTATAGGAGCATTATCCATAATAGCTACAATGTGGATAGAACCCGTGTCCACCAACGAATGAACGGTTAGGCAAATTGTGGCATATATATACCATGGAATAGGATTCAGCCTTAAAATGAAAGGAAATTCTGCAATATGCTGCAATATGTATGAATCTTGAAGACATTATGCTAAGTGAAATAATCCAGTCACAACAAGACAAATACTACATGACTCCAATTATATGATGTACCCAGAGTAGTCAAGATCATAGAAACAGAAAGCAGAATGGTGGTTGCCAGGAGCTGGATGGGGGAATGGGGAGTTCATGTTCAATGAGAATAGAGTTTCAGTTGGGAAAGCTCTGGAGATGGATGGTGGTGATGTACTTATTGCCACAGGACCGCACACTTAAAAATCGTTAAAATGCTAAAATTTTATGTTATGTATATTTTACCACAAGAAAAATAAGTAAAGTCGAATAAGAGGAGACTGCAAAGCAGATGCATTTCAACGCAACCTCTATCCCCCCTTTTGGGGATCCTTCTGAGTCTCAACAGAAACCCAAGGCTGGGCTAAGAGGAAAGAAGCCTGGCTTTTGAAAGCTTCTTGAGCCTCTGATGGAAACGGAAACGGGATGAAGAGAGCAAGGCCTTCAAAAGTTTGGAGTCCTGGACACCTCTGGGTGAGGAAGCAGCTCCTCTGTCCTGCAGGAGGAAAGGTCTGGAAACAGCTGTACATGCTTACATTTGTGTACACACCTCCGTCATGTACACATGGGTACACGCACACACACTTACCAAGGGCTGATGTCTTTCACTGAAAGAAATAAGTTAAACAAACCATCGCCTGAGCCTTTGTAGCTGGGGCAGGTGGCCCGTCAGCCTGCGTGTCCCCCCTTCCCGACCACACCCACTCTTTGCTGTGGGGCCAGAGAGCCTTCGGCCAGGAGGACCGATGCAGGCAGAGCAGAGGAGCAGGCAGAAACCCCTCTCTGGTACCCCCTGTAAGAGGAGGAAGGATTTCCTGCCCTGACAGGGGCACCTCAAGAATTCTGACTCTCGCCCTGGCCGGTTTGGCTCAGCGGTTAGAGCATCGGCCTGCAGTCCAGAGAGACCCGGGTTTGGTTCCCGCTAAGGGCATGTACCTCGGTTGCAGTTTGTCCCCGGCCCTGGTTGGTCATGCGGGTGGCAGCCACTCGATGTGTCCCTTTCACGTCGATGTTTCTCTCTCTCTCTCCCTCCCACTCTATCTGAACAAAAGATGGAAAAATGTCCTCGGGTGAGGATAAAAAAAAAAAAAAAAAAAGAATTCTGACTCTCAGAGATAAGCTCTGTCCCAGGTTGTCTCTAACATCGGCAGGGCCAGCACTTCTGGTATCAGCCACGAGCCCAAGCTCACAAACGCTGACCCAGGCTCTTCCCTGGTCAGGGGCCCGCCTGACCAGGGCCCCGAGATGATTATGGAGATCTGGAGCACGGGAGATAAGGGCCATTGCACCCGGACTTTGGTTTGAGTGTCCTGGAAGCTGCAGGCAGGCAGCCAGCCAGCCATGGGGCAGGGTCTGGTTCTGAGTGTGGCCTGGGGCAGACTTGCCACCACCACGTTCCGGGTCTGGCTGTGCCTGTGTCCACATCCCAGCGAGCCCCTTGATTCGCACAGCCTCACTTACCTGTCCGGTAGAACGGGGGTTATACTAACAGGCCCCTGTGGGTGTGCTGAGAGGGAGAGATGAGGTAACAACGAATGTTGGTCATTGATAGTACAAAATGCAACATCCCTGGAAAATGCCACTGCCCGTCTGCGTCCTTTCCAGCTCATGATGGGTGAAGCCAGTTTCCAGCAACCAGCAGCTGACGCCCTAGGACAGCTGAGCTGAGAGAAGAGAAGGAGGAGGAGGAGAGAAAGGGAGGGTGAGGGAACTGGGCACACCCCACTGGCACTAAGTCTGGTGTGCAGAGCACCAGCACGGGGGAGCCAGCTACTTCTCCCTCCTGGACGTGTCGAAGCGGTGGGACCAGAGAGATCCTCTGAGCCGTCAATGTGTGGGCCAGACCTGGCTGTACTTGCTCCTTGCTTTTTGCAGATGGAAGGTAAACAGAGGCTTGGAGCACATCTTGGGGCTTGGGAAGTGCTACCCAGATGGTCTGATCTTCTCCCTGGGCTGGCCTCTCACCCATCATCATCTGCCTCAATAGTTTAGCATTGGTGGGGGTGGAGCAGAGAACCTGTGCCCAACCCCGAACAGAACAAGAGCAAACGGTTACCGGTTGAAGTGTTTCCCCAAGCTCATGTGTTGAAGTCCTAAGCCCCAGTACCTCGGAATGTGACTTATCTGGAGGGAGGGTTGTTGCAGATGTAATTAGTTAAGAGGAGGTCATTAGGGTGAGCTCTAATCCAATTGACTAGTGTTCTTATAAAAAGGGACATTTGGACACAGACACACACACATGCATGGAGAGTACATCTAAAGTCACAGGCAGATATCGGGGTCATCTACAGGCCCAGGAACCAACTCTGCTGACATCTTGATCTCGGACTTCCAGTCTCCAACACAGCGAGACAAGACATTTCTGTTGTTTAAGCCACCGGGTGTGGTACTTTGTTACGGCAGCCCTAGCAAACTAGCATATAAATCCTGGGAAAGGGGTCCGCCTTGGCACCAGGGACAGACACTGGCCAGCCCTGATGCCAACAGTAACCTTTTTATTTATTTATTTTTTGTTAATCCTCACCTGAGGATATTCTTTCCATTGGCTTTTGGAGAGAGTGGGAGGGAGGGAGGGAGGAAGGGAGGGAGGGAGGGAGGGAAGGATGGGGAGAGAGAGAAACACCACCTTGTTGCCTCCCGCACACATGGCAGTGGTCAGGGTGCCCAGGATGGAACCTACAACCCAGGTACGCACCTTTGAGCTGGAATTGAACCTGCGACCCTTCAGTTTTCAGGCTGATGCTCCAACCACTGAGCTACACCAGCCAGGGCAAAAGTAACCTTTTAAAAAATTAGCTCCATGGTCTGAAAGTTGCCAGGAAGAACCAGGTCAGGTCATTCAGCTGCTCCTGGAGCTCCCTTGGGAGCAGTCCAACTTCCAGAATTCAAAGCCAACATCTTATCTCATTCATTCATTCATTCATTCAATCATCAAACATCTTCTTGGGTCCTAGCTGTTTTTCAGGTGAAGCGTGGCCTGGGAACGCAGTGGGCAGAAGGCAGGCTTAGTCTCTTCCCTTAGAAAGCTGGTGGGAAAGGCAGAGCTTCCCAAATAGAGACCTTTAATTAAGAGGGACAAAGAAGAGCCAGTGACAGCATGGCAAGGGGACCTCTGATCTGTTCCTCCATGTCAGCCTTCCCCATGCAGCTGCCAGGCTTTGGGACATGAGGATCGGGTTCCCAGGACAGCCTGTCACAAGTGGAAAGTGTCTCTTCCCATCCCCAGGGAGGAGACATACTACTCCTGAGGAATGTGGGGTAGCTGGCTGTCCAAGGTCAAATTCTTTTGGCGCCGGTGACACTGCAGAACACTACCAGCCCTGGGTTTTGCAATATGTACTATAATCATTTTCACGGCAGTCCTCAAAGAGACCTGGTGGAGCAATACGATGGTGATAATGAGGATGACTCCTTGTTTATAGCCCTGTAAAGTAAGGCTCCCAGAGTCCTGGCCAGGGCTCTTGGAGGGAACTGTGGGGTCAAATCCCAGGTCACCTGGTTAGTGGTAGCATCAGCTGCTCCAAGCAGACTTGGCTGTGAGCAGGGGTGAGGCAGGGGACTTCCCCCAGGATCGGGGAGCCTGCAGGGCAACGCACTCCCCAGGCAGGCACGGTCTCCTGCCTACCAGTGGGCAGATTGCAGAGGTCGGGGTTCACCATGCTCTTTTCTTACTTCAAAAAACTTTAAAAAAAATTTTATTTTGAGAGTACACTTATTACAGCTGGGCCAGTGAAACAAAGGAAGGACTTAGGGTAGAAGAAGCAACAGGAGGGACAGTGCTCTGCTCTGGCTCCCGCGGAACGTCATGGGAGCCAAGGCAGGTGCGTGGACTCACTGAGAGGTAAAATCACAGTGACAGAAGGAGCCGAGGCGGAGCTGCTATTAGCTCACTGGAAAGTCAGAGAAAAGGGGGCCTTGGAGACAGGTTCAGGGGGTTAGCCCAGGACGAGCTGCCACCACCTGTTGCTCCCCTGGTTGCAAGTCTCATGGGGACCCTAGAGTTGAGGCAAGACCCCCCCCAAAAAAATGTTTAAAAATGCATGTCATCCACAAGCTACTGGGCAAGGTTCTAATTTGTCCATAGGGCCTTATCGTGTAGTGGCTCTGGGTCAAACTGCCTGGCTCAAATCCTGGCTCATTAGTTCAGTGACTTTGGGCAAGTTACTTATCTCCAAGCCTGAGGCTCTTCATCAGTAAAATGTGGCTAGAATACTCCTTCTGAGGGCTGTTTTGAGAGGTACATGACATAATTTACAGCTAGTGTGTAGTACGGTGCCCAGCAGCGGAAACACACTCTGAGCATTAGACATGCATATGACTATTGGCATTAAGACGTGGGTTTTGGCCACTGCATGTGAGTTCAGAGTCATTGTTTACTGGTTGTGAATCTCAGGCAAGTTGCTTTCCCTCTCGGCAGTGGATGCTGTGGTCGGTAGTGGATGCTGTGGTCGGTAGTGGATGCTGTGGTCGGTAGTGGATGCTGTGGTCGGCTGCCTAGATCCCCATCATCCCCCCGTTGCTTAGAGTGTTGGCAGTTGATGGCTTCAAGCTGGGTTTCTCTCCGGGTCTTGCCCTCAGCTGAAGAGAGCTGCCTTGCTCAAGGTAAGCCTGCCCTGACCTGCATCTGCTGGGGGTTGAGGCAGGGGTACAAAGAGCAGGCCCTCGGGTCTTAAGGCAGAATAGCCCTGGAGGGACATCTGCATCCCCCGTAGGATCATCTTGAGCTTCCGTTGCTACATTTCACAGCCTCTCTCTGCCCTTTCCAGGGGTCCTCATCTCCTTGCGGGTGTTGTCTCTGAAAGCACTGCCCGGTAAACCTGCACACAGGTCTGTTTCATAGTGTGTTTTCCGGGGAACCTAACCTGTGACAGTGGAACCAGGAAAAATCCTAGCAATAGACTCTAAACTGGAGTTTTGACACCAGATCACCTGGGGGCCAGCTGGCAACGAGGAACTCAGGCACATCGCTATGGTGTAATTGTTATTTTCCCAGGTGGTGAACTGGGTTGGGATACTGGTGGAAGGGATCTCACTGGTGCGTGCTGGTCGCTGTACATTGTGTTGTGTGCTTATTGCGCAGGTTTGAGCCTGGAGCTAAGTCCCCATCAGCAGAAAGACCTGCCCCTGTATGGTGTCCTGAAAGATGAGGGGACAGGACGAACCAATTGGATGAGCAGATTCACTGGGCCCCTTCCAGCTCTAGCATCCTAGGTGGACCTGTGAAGTACTGATGGGGGTTTGGGTGGCATGGGAGTGCCCTGCAGCCAAGACAGTGAATAAACGAGGGTGGTGGGTTCAGGGGCCTGAGGGAGATTTTCTGTGTCCCCACCTTGCCTGAAGCAGAGCTTTGATCCTGGGCTCAGGTCTCCTGCAGGGGGCCCTTCACTTCCTCCCCGAGCCCTCCCCGGGGCTGCTGGGTTCTGATGCTAGTGTAACCTTAGACCAGCTCAGACTGGTCCTTTCTGTCTAACAAGACCTACAACCAGAGTTTAAATCTTGGCGACACTGCTCATAAGTAACACTTGTGAACCCTTGACTGCTGCCCCTTAGAACCTGGCCCTGAATCCTGGATCAGGAAGACAGTCTGAGCCTCCCAGCCGACTTGCAAATAAAGCTCCTTTCTTTTCTCCAAGCCAGTGCCGAGGTATTGGCTTCTCTGTGCGGTGGGCAGCGAACCTTGCTCGGTGACAATCAGGCTCCTGTACCCGACCTGGCTGAGCTTGGGGTTTTGTCTACTTTCCTCGGGATTTTCTTGGCCTCACAGACTTCTCTTTCTTCCTCCCAGGTCTCCCCACACCCTGGCAGGAAGTTGTGGGCTCAGGATCATAGGCAGCTGCAGAAGTTGGAGAGGACAGAAACCCTGAGTCTGAGCTCCGGGATTGGCCTGGGCAGGCAGGGGCCTCACTCCATCCCCTCGAGACGACCATGTGGGCATCTGCCTGTCCTGTAATCCACACCTCTCAACCAGCCCATGAGCCGACACTCAGGGAAGAAATGGAAGCTTTGAAGGGTTAAATGGCTTCTTGAAGGTCCCACAATTCTCCACGTCCACACCCACACCCAGGACGGAGTAGCTGGAGCCTGGCTCCTCTGCAGCCCCGCCCACCTCCTGTGGGGCCCACTCAGAATTCCTTAGGACAGGAGAGGACGTGGGACCTCGGGGCTGTGATCAGAACGGTGGAAGGTTTTATTTTTTGTTTGCTTGCCTATTTATTCATTTCAAAGTAAAAATGGTTATTAATTTTAGAACACTTTAAAATTCAAAATATGGAATTTAAAGAACAAAGTAAAAATTACCCTTAAATTCCACCACCTGGAGATAGTTACTGTTAACAGTCTGGTGAACAGATTTCCAGACAGCTCTATGTGCGTGCATGTGTGATTTTATGATGATGGGATCCTCTACTGTCTCATAAGCTGCTGCTTTCACTCAGCAATATGTCATGGAAATCTTTCCATGTCAGTAAGTGTAGCTCTTAATGGCTGCAGACTATCCCTTGTATTTCATTGCAAATGATAGTATGCACCATCTTTTATCTATTAAACCCAATACTGTTGGGCATTTAGATTGTTTCCAGTATTTCACTATCATAAAATCTCTAGAGTGAACGTTATGACCCCTCTGCCTTGGCCGTTTATCCACCTACCGTCTTAGGGCACATTTTAACAGGCTGATCTTAAAGAAAAATCCCCAAGGCGTGGCCTCACTCTGCTGCCTCATTCCAGTGCCAGATTCTTGTTTTCCATGGGCTCCTTCCTAGGGGGGCCAGAGGCCTCCAGCCCAGGTGCTGTCCTAGCAGGTTAGCAGAGATACGCTCAGGGATGCAGCTCTTTTCCTCCGCGGTTCTGGGTAAGGGGCAGAAATGAGCGCTTTCCCCAAGCTATGAAATTTCCAAATCTAAAGACGTGACCCGTACACATGACTCAGTCCAGCCCCAGTCCAGGGGGCTCTCAGACGGCCTGTAACTCTGTGAGGGGCTTGGCTTTGCCTTCCAGGAGGCCGATGGGCCAGCAGGGCCGAAAGCAACCTGGACCAAAGGCTGCCAGTGGGCCAGAGGGAATCTCTGCCAGGATGGGAGCCTGGGCTTGAGGCTCCACTGAATGAGGCTCTTATTTATTTATTTATTTATTCAGGAAGCCAGGTCTATGGTAGGGGCTAGGTATGTAGAATTGAAGAAGACAAGGCTCACAGTGGTGGGGGAGAGGCCAGGTCAGATTCTCAAGCCCTTGGGTGGGGAGAGGGGCAGGGGGCTTGGGGGTTGTTGGGGTAGTCACTCCATTACCAGACTTTAGTCTATGTGGTCGTGAGGCAAGGCCTGTTTTTAGGAAACAAAGTGAGAGTAACTTTCATCATCATGATACAATGTTATCCTGCCCCAACACACACGCATGTAGCTTTTTGCCGAGGTAAGAGACAAAGGTGAACCTAGTTTATTTTACCATTTTTATTATTTTAAGCAGACATTCTAAGTATTATAGTTCATTTTTTAATTCAATGAAATTGTTTCCCAAGAGAATATTGACAGGCCCACTAACTGGAGCTATTTATAAAGGCCCAACTAAGCAGCAAGATGAACAGGAGACAGTGTCACTTCTTTAAAATTCTTAATTAGTTGCTTTTATCAGGTTGTGTTCCTTGGTGTGAATTCCTAGGACCTGAGCCTCCTTTCAGGGTCCCTTTGGAGCCTGCAGAATTTATTCCTCTGGGATTTTGTTTTCCTGATTAAAACTTGAGACGTGATCCAAAATTTCAACACAAGCCCTGGCTGGTTTTGCTCAGCAGTTAGAGCATCAGCCTGCGGTCCTGGGAGACCAGGGTTCGGTTCCTGCTAAGGGCACGTACCTCGGTTGTAGTTTGTCCCCGGCCCTGGTTGGTTGTGCGGGTGGCAACCACTCGATGTGTCCCTTTCACGTCAATGTTTCTCTCTCTCTCTCTCTCTCTCTCTCTTCCTCTCTCTCCCTCCCACTCTATCTGAACAAACAAATGGAAGAATGTCCTCAGGTGAGGATTAAAAAAAAAAAAAAAAGTCCATTGACAGTAGTTCTCTCAGCCGTTAATTATTATGATGTCACACAGGCTGCCAGCCAGACATCTGAAGTCCGATGGAGGTTGGTTTCTCACTCTGGTGAAGGCACCTGAAAACTCCACACTGTCCACCTGCCCCTGATCTCCTCTCGCCAGGAGGGCCCCGGATGCCCTGCTTTCCAGTAATCCTGACACTGCATTTGTCCAAAGTCCATAACCCGAGCTCAGTCGGGCCCCTCCAGACCCAGCGGAGGCTGCCGGCGGGGGGGGGGGTAGGAATGTTACCTCTGTTCAAGGAAGGCTTCCTCTCCACCCCTCAGTGTGTCCGGAAGTCATACGTTGGTTTACTGGGGTATGCTCATTCCAACAAGGGCTGGGTTTGGGGTCCCGAGGAGCCTTCCAAAGGGGCGAGAGGGGAAAGTGGGAGAGCACAGGAGTGTCCCAGGGTCCTGGTGGTGGTGGTAGATAGAACAAGGATCTCGGGGTCCAGGTGGTTCTCACTAAATGCTACTCTCGATGAGTGTTAAAATGTAGCACAGTATTTTGCAGACACAGCTGTAAACAGGGATAAGTGTGGCCAACTGCAAAGAAGAAATCATTGTGCAATTAACCAGATAGTGTATATAAGCCATGGCTAAGCCTCCCCTCAGGGAGACCCAGCTTTGGATGTGAGTCCTGTCTCCTTGACTTGCTACAAATAAATAAAACTACCTAATGACAGCCATGTCTTATTCTTCAGTAGAGCACCCCAAGCGGCGAACCCCTTCAGTTCAGTAACAGTGGGATTTTATTTACTGAGGCTTCCAGGTCACCTCTGTGGAACTGAGCATTCTGAGCCTGGTCACAGACTCGGCTGTCGTGGTCATCTGTCCGTTCCTCCACCCAGATGCCTTCCGTAGTGCTTTTGGTGCATTCATTCTCCCGCTGAGGCGCAGGGCTCCAGCCAGCATCCCTCTGCCGACAAGGGCTGTGGGGCAGGGAATGCTTCTACAGAACTCCAGGGACAAATGCCAACCCAAAGGCAGCCGGGAAAGGCAGAACTTGACAAAGGAACTCACTGGCCCTCTGCGCGTCAGCTCAGACCAGACCAGGCAATAATCCTGTGAAGACTGAGATTTTTTTAGTCTAAGAATAATTGTTTAGAGCTAGAAACTACTAAGAAACCATCGACATGGTTTTTTTTTTTTTTTTCTTTATTGATTTTAGAGAGAGAGGAAGGGAGAGGGAGATAGAGACATCGATGAGAGAGAACATCAATTGGCCGCTTCCTGCAAGCCCCCCACTGGGGTTTGGCCCACAACCTAGGCATGTGCCCTGACTGGGAATCGAACTGGTGACCTCTTGGTGCATGGGGTGACGCCCAACCACTGAGCCACACCGGCTGAGCACCATCTGCATCTTCATTTCATAGATTTGAGAACTGGATTGAGATAGGAGCAAATATTTGCCCAAACTGAATGCAAAAGTGGAACTGGAATTTAAGTTTCCTGAATCCTAGGCGGGTGATCTAATTTTTCCCCCAAATTTAAATATCTTTTAAAAAAAATGGTGGCATTTACATAAATTTATATAAAAGAGTCTTGTAATCTTTTACAAGAATGTGGTTCTAAGGAATCCATCCTCATGGAAGGGAAGCACCGGGGAGGGGTCTGAAGGCGGGGTGACGCCGTGTCTGCCATGTGCTATGTGGCCAGGAGGCCCTGCTTGTCTTTGTTGGGTGTCACTTGCCTTCCCACCACACCAGCACAGAGGCCTCCCCAGAGGAGGCCAAGGTCAGGGGAATGGGCTTTCGGCTCACTTCTTTGTGTCCTCAGGCCCCGAGAACAGGACTGTCAGAGCTGGACAGTTGGGCACGCAGCAGGCCAGCCCGCCCCAAGCACGCGTGGGGCCCAGGACAAGAGTACCGATGGAGGCCCACCTACCATGTGGCTACAGATTTAAAAGTTACAAATCAAGCTAACAAGCTTAAATAAAAAGTATTTTGTCTTCCCACTTTAACAAATGAACCTTTGTAAAGACTGACCGACTGGAATACGAGGTGCAGAGAGAACAGTTTCCTGGCCCGTAGCCCACCCCTTTCTTCCTGTCCAGGCTCCATCCCATACTTGGAGGAGCTTGTGCATGTCAAGTGGACGCCACGACCTGTTCATCAAGCTCCTTCTACACCTCCTGCAAAGAGCCGCCTGTGATCATCACTGGGCGGCAGGAGCGGGAGAAGAGGCCTGTCCAGACCCTAGAAGCTGGCTCAGACTGTTTGGGGTGAGAATTCCAGGAGCAGGGTGTACAAGATGTGGGCTCTGGGTGAACACATCCCTTTTCCTGACTCCTGCTGTGGGTGGGGTGGGGTCAGAGGAGGGCTCCAGCAGAGGCTGCTGAGGGATACTTCTAAACTGTGGTCTCTGGACCAGCAGCCTGGGCACCACCTGGGAGCTGCTTAGAGCTGAAGACTGACAGCCATGCTCCAGACCCGCTGAGTCAGAATCTGCATCTGCACAAGGCCCGGGATTGTATGTACATCGAGGTTAGGAAAGCTCTGCTCTAACGTACAAAACTCAGGCCAGGGTCCCTCTGGCCCAGGTCCGGGGGCACTAGCTGTCAGTATCAATAAATACGATCCCAATGAAAGCCCGCTATCACCTAAAGCGGCCTGGGAGTCACCGCTGGGGGCTGCCTGGCTCACACTGCTTCGTTTCCTTGTTCTCCGGGCCTCAGTGGCCACGTCTCCTTTGCTGTTGGCCTGAGCTGATTGGTCCCATAGGAGACACCTGCCCACAATGGGCCAGTCAGATGATCTTGCTCAGAAATTTGAAACGTAACGTCCAAAATCAAGTTTCCAGAGTAATAAATAGCAAGTCACAGTGACCAGTCTTTCCCGCACCTGTGATGTGCCAAGCATGGTGCTGAGAGTCTTATGTGTGATATAATCCAATCTTTACAATAGCTTCACCAGGCAGGTGTTATGATTCTGTTTATGTTCCAGAGGAGGAGATGGGGCTCAGGCGGTAAGTGACTCAAAGCTCAAGGGGCGCGGGGGCAGCACCAGGAGAGCTGAGTGATGGGCTGAAACTGAGCCATGTGGTGTGGTGTGGGGACACCGTCTCGGGCTGGGCCAGCCGCCAGGAAACAGCCTGTGTGCAGTGAGGAGGACACCCAGCTCTGTGAGGGGCTGTAGTCAGGGAGGGAGGGAGGGGAGCCTGGGGACAGAGTGAGGGCAGGAGATGTGGGAGAGGGGAGCACAGAGAACCCCCAAGTAAGAGCAGGGTGCTGACCATGACTTCAGGCCTGAGGCTCCCACTGTGGGGACTGCCGGAGAGCTGACCCCCTTTGTCTCTCCAGTGAATCAGCAGCCAGCTCACCAAAGAAAGGTGTGGGCGGCTTATTTTGGAGACAGGACGGGGCAGTGGAGAAGCGCGTATCCTCCTCTGTTCGACTCCCAGGAAGCGGAGGGTTCTGAGTGGAAACTGCCATTCCGGGCAGGGGAGGGACCCGGGGCAGGTTGGCCCCTGCCCACCTCAGAAGACGAAACCAGTCCTCCGCAGAAAGTTTCTGCTGGAATCCGAGCCTCAGCAGGGGCAGGGTTGTTTGTCTTTATTGAAAAAACGAGCCGACATCGATGAGCTCTAACACAGTGGTGGCCCCCTCACCTGACAATCAGACGTCACACAGCACTCGACGCAGGTCCCACCTTAGTGGCTACAGTGCAGGTGTCACACGCTGGGTGGCACACTGACCCAGGGTAGCCACACTGAAGTACGCGTCTCACTGCACAAACCTCCCTTGAAGAAAGGGAAACTCAAACAATCGTAAGATCAGGGAACACTCCTTTGCTCCCGGGGGAGGGTGCACAGCTCTCCAGCAGAGGCGGGCTCCTCCTGACTCCTCCAAGGGTGTGGGGCTTGCCCCCCGCACGGTGACCAGGACCCTTCAGGACGGGATGCTGCCAGGGCCTCCTTCTCTGCTGAGGGATGGAAGAGATCCATCCCAGCGCCCACAGGTGGGGGCGCAGCGCTGAGAACCCAGCCTGTCACCAGTGTCCCTGAGGCCCCCGCGACTGGGATGTAAATAGCTCCAGGCCCACGCAGCTCCTCGTCTGCTGATGAGGGGGGCTTGCTCCTGTTTCTTCTCTCTCTGTACTTTTTTTCAGGGAGCAAAATTCAGAGTAAGAGCTGCCAGTTCTGGAAACTTGTTCTGGAAACTTTCTGGCTCCTCAGACAACCAGGGCGACAATGGAGTCGAGAGAGGGTCCTCTCCGGACACTTCCTGCTGACTCGGGACAGAAAGAGGGGCTTTTCCTCTTGAGGGAGTGGCCCTCAGGTCTACTTGGTGCAGGGCTGGGACCCCCCTGGTGACTCTGAGGAGCCGACACTCGCACCCGTGCTAACTAGGGCCTGGGGCTCCTCCCACACACAGAGCGGCCCCTCCTCGTTCCCAGGGCCTCGCCCCTGAGGCGGAGCCCCCATCTGGAGGAGCGCCCCTGCTGCCCCTGCGGCGTGGAGGGCGTCACACTGGGGATCGGAGGAGGAGATAATGTGAGATGGAGCCCAGGAGGGATCGGAGGAGGAGATAATGTGAGATGGAGCCCAGGAGCTAAATGCAGGCGTGGGGACGCCTGCTGACCGGCTTCACCCCAGGACAGAGCCTAGTGCAGCTGAGTTCACCGAAAGGCAGGGCGGCGGCGGGCCTGGCTCTGAGGCCTGCCCTCCTACAACAGACGGGTTTAGGCAGACTTTCAGACCCCAAGCCTGCATCAAACCCAGTAACCCTTAAAAAGTCTTACTAAGAAGCATTTCCTTTGTCTGAGGAGCCCTTGAGGGTTTCATCCCAGTGGTCCAGCCCTGGCCTCTGCCCTCCCCAGCCCAGGACAATCTGGGGTCCAATGGTCTGGGCCACTCTAAGCCACAGAAGACAAGAACGCGGGGCTGCCTGTGCCCTGCGGCTTTGCCTCCTTGGAGGGCCTCATCTGGGTGGATGCCTTGGGGACAGTGTCCTCAGGAGGGAGGCTGGAATGGAGAGCCTTGCGGACAGATGGAGTGGGGGCTGGTGGGAGGTGCAGTGTCCGTTCTCCGGAGGGGGAAGTGGGAACCAGCAGGGGAGGGCCGGCAGGCCCTGTCATCTCACCGGGCTGGGGAGGCTCCAGCAGAGGAGGCCGTGTGGGAGTCTGGGCTCAGCTGTTTCCTTGGTAACTGGCCTTTTCCAAAGGCAAGCCTGGTGAGGCCCCATGTGGTGGGAGCCGCAGGTGTGCAGGGAAGCAGTGCCAGCCCGTGGGTGGCCGTGCCTGGGAGGCTGGCCAGAAGCTCAGGTAGCAGAGGGACAGGTGGTGCCTGGGAGGCAGAGGCTGGGGTCCGGCAGGAGAGACCTGCTCACATCCAGCTCGGGGCTGGGGGACTTTTCTTTAACATCCATCTTTATTCCACTTTGAAGCCGTCACAGAGACTTCAGTGTCGGATCACAGCTGGGAGGAGCTCCATGGGATCTCACATTCCCTCTCCCATCGCGTCTCTCTGAGTGTTAGCTGGATTTGCTGAGAACAGCCGTATTTATAGAGGTTTCCAAGTAGGTTTCCATTCCCAGGGAGGGGGAGGCTTGCCCAGAGCTACTCAGAGGACGGCCTGGAGGCAGTGGGCGGTGAGGGCCAGCGGCAGCAGGAGCAGGGCGGCCCTGGAGGCGGGGACCGGGATGGCTGGGGAGGAAACACAGGCGTTAGGCCCGTTAGGCCCGAGGCCGCAGCTGGACCTGAAGGAGTCCGTGCACCTAGCTCACCCAGGCTGCCTCTTTCTATGCTGTTACAATTTTTCTTCCCAGTTCATTATTATTTTTTACATATTTATTCCTTTCAAAATTATACTACACGTATATTTATGTAGTTGCCTCATCCTTTCTGAAAGATTATTTTTATTTTTATTTGTTATTCCTCTCCCGAGGACATCTCCCGCTGCCTCCGTGGGCCGCGGGCCCCAGGGCGTCGCGCTGCCCACCCGGCCGGCGGCCCTACCTGCCCCGGAGCACTGCTGAGCCAGCATCCCCTCCACAGCGGCCACGTAGTCGGGGCCCAGCCAGTCGAGGTACGTGGTTTTCTCCCGCACAGGCTCCGCTCGGACCGTGGCATCCTTGAAAAGCAGATCTTGGCCGTGGTAGTCAGAGGAGTCGAACATTTTGAAGCCGTTCTCATTGTGGTCATCTCCAAACACTTCCTGGAAGCACACGCAGAACTGCTTTTTCCCGGGCTCACAGTGTCACCCGGGGCCGTGCTCTTCCCTGCTTTACACGGTGAGCCAGAGAGCAGGGCTTTCCAGGACGCCACGCTGGCGTGCGTCACAAGCCGGACAACCCATCGACCTCTGTCACCAAAGGTGGATTTGGAGTGAGATGTGATGAAGCTGCCACAGTAAGGAGGAAGTGGCTAGCCAGCTCTTTGGGGGACTCACGGATCCTCTTGAGGATCTCATGAAAGCTGATCAGCCTTCTCCCCAGAAAAGTGCACATCCACACAGGGCCCTCCCCCACGTCATGTCAGAGGCTTCAGAGAGAAGGTGGGCTGAAGGGGGAAACGGGGTGGGATAGGGACCAGGACCCTGTTGACAGACAGCCTGGGTTCAAATTCTAGATGTGTTTTGAAAGTGCAGCCAACAGGATCAGCTGATGGGTTGGATGTAGAGCAGGAGAGGAAGGCGGGAGTCTGAGATGACCCTGGGGAAAGGGAGAGGCTGAGGGAATTAGAGCGTCCAACCTCGGACTTGTTCGAACTACCAGATGACACATCGAGCAGACAGTTGTTAGACGCAAGTTTGAGACTGAAGGGTGGATGGCAGCGGGACTGAAGATGTGCAGTCAGGGGCCATGGTATGGGATGGACGTTAACAGCGCAGGGCTGGAGAGAGCCACAGGGCGTAGCTGCCGCCGAGAAGAGGGTTAGGATGGAACCCGGGGGCACTCCAGTGGGTACAGGCCTGGGGAAGGAGGAGGAACCAGGGACTGAGAGGAGTGACCAGGAGGTAGGCAGAGCCCAGCAGGTGGGGGCCAGGGGCCGAGGGGCAGAGTGCTTCCAGGATGAGGGATTTGAACCTCGGGAGGAGGGAGCTGCAGCCAGTGCTGCTGAGAGGTCAGGTAGATGTGGACTGGAAACAGCCATCAGTCTTAGCAATGTGGGTCACTGTGCCCGTGACCGGGGCAGTTCAGGGCCTTGCGGGGGCTGGTCTAGAGTGTCTGCACCCTTGAGAGAGACCAGGAGAAGACTGCTGGCTGCCGAGGGAAGATGACTCTTTGAAGGAGTTTTGCTGTGAAGGGCAGTGGGATTATGGCTACAAAAGCATGTGAGAATGGAGTACTATGCAGCTGTAAGAAAGAAAGATCTCTTATCCTTTGAGACGACATGGAGGGTCCTAGAAAGTATTATCCTAATGCAGACTGGTGCAGCCACTATGGAAAACAATATCGTGTTAACCTCAAAAAATTAAAAATTGAACTTCCATTTGACCCAGTGATCTCACTTCTAGGAATATACCCTAAGAAGCCTGAAACACCAATCAGAAAGAATATATGTACCCCCATGTTTGTAGCAGCACTATTTACAGTAGCTAAGATCTGGAAACAGCCCAAGTGTCCATCAGTAGACGAATGGATAAAAAAGCAGTGGTACATATACACAATGGAGTACTATGCAGCTGTAAGAAAGAAAGATCTCTTATCCTTTGAGACTACATGGAGGGATCTGGAAAGTATCATCCGAAGTGAAACAAGCCAAACAGAGAAAGACAAGTATCATTTGATCTCACTTATTTGTGGAATATAATGAACATAACAGTCTGAGGAATGGGGTAGTCCCAGAGACATGGAAGTGGGGTACAGACTGACAATCCCCAGAAGAGGTGGTGGTGGGGGAGAGATAAACCACAGAAATTATATGCATGTATGCATGAACAATGGACATGGACACAAAGCTGGGGACAGGAAGGGGAGGAGGAGAGGGAGAATCAGTGGGGGGAAAAGGAGAAACATCTGTAACAAAAATAAATTAATTGATTAAAATAAACAAATAAATAAAAAAATAAAAACATATTAAAAAAAAAAAAAGGGCATGTGAGACCAAGAGAGGGTTTTGTTTGTTTTTTTAAGATGGTAGAAACAACAGCACAAGAATGGTCCAGCTGAGAAGGGAAAAGTAATTCTGCAGGAGACAGAGGGGAGAGTGGTTGGAGAATGTCCTTGGCTAAGTGAAAAATCACAGAAGTTTCTCCCCAGGCATCCTCAGTTTCTCCTGAGGTGTCCTGGGGGCTTGGCTCACCTCTGTCATCCACCCCCATACTCAGGTCACCCTGCCCTGGCGCACCTGGGCCTTGTCCAGCAGTCCGTACACGGCAAAGATGTTGGTGTCCGGCCGCACCATGACAGCATGGGACGGAATCTGTGCCAGGTTACAGTCTTTGAACTGAAACACCTCGGCCCGGGCCCCATTGGGACACAGCAGCTCATAGTCCTCCGAGCTGAGCGCAGCAGCCCAAGGCTCAGAATTGTGGCCTGAGGGGAAGAAGAGAGAGAGAGGCTGCTCTCCTCCTGCATCCCCAAATCCTTGCCTGGGGAGAGGTGGCAGTGTCCGCCCAGCTCCCCAGAACTCTCCATTCTCCCATCACTTGGCCTTACTGCCAGGATGAGAGCCCAGCTGGGGCCAGTGTGTCGGCAGGAGCTCCAGTTCCTAGAGAACAGGGAGCACCTGCTACGTGACAGGCGTTTTCCAAGCACTGCCCCATCCACAGGACAGTGGTGCAGGCAGGTGTGCTCCTCTCCCGTTTTATGGGTGCAGAAACTGAGGCTCTTAATCTGTGTCTTACAGTCTCAGGCCTGAGGGGGGGTCCCTAAAGGTGGGGGTTGACCTCCTCCCCCAACAGCTGAAGTTCTCAAACCAGACGGGGTGTATCATCATGTGTGGACCCATGAGAGGCAATTCCAACGACCCCACCTGCAGAGTCTCATTTGGGAGGTGACTCGGAAGCAGGTTGGGCCAAGGGCTTCCCGAGAAACACTGCACTTGGGAGTCATGTTATTTCTCTGTCTTCATGTATTTCACTTAGTGTCTACCCTCTTCCCCTTTCCAGAAGGAACTTCTGGTGGGCCCGTGAGCAGAGATGAAAAGAAAGGGAAATGAGCAACCCTGGCGGGTGGTGTTCACTGCAGTGATTCTCGGAAGGCCTCCCTGACCACAGAGGCTGAAGACCAGATGCTGATGTGAACGATGACACTGCGGAGAGAGATCCCTGCCACCCACCCACACACCTTGGAAACATAAATGTCCCAGAGTCTCTCCACATTAAGACTGAGTTTCTACCATTTGGTGGAACATAGATTTGGACTCCAGACCAGTAAAGACTGTCATATGTCCTACGTTCCTGGACGTGTGGCCAGAGGTCTGTTCGTACCATGAGGCTCCTGGAGCCCCAGGATCCCTAAGGGACAGAGACTGCTAGACTCAGTCTTTCCTGTTGCTGCTTGGCCTCCAATCCCAGCAACACCCGGTGCCTGGATTGTATTGGGGATGGGGAACAGCCCCCCTCCCCCGGATCTGGCCTTGCTCTGGCCCCAGCCCCCCTCATGTACCATTTGTGTTGTCAAAGACAGTCGTGTGCGTGACAAAGGCGACATCCCCTGCATTCTCAACCAGGCACCTGCCACACAAGAGGCCAAAGCAGGTGTCAGCAGGACGGCCCAGCCTCTGCGCCCGGCCCCAGGCCCGCCTGCCAGGCCCACCAGAGTACCTGAAGGCGCCGCTGTAGCCGAAGTACCTCTCCTGGCTGTTGCCCACGCACTTGTTGCGGCCCTGCTCGTCCCCCACGCAGAGCACACACAGCGAAGACGGGTAGTGCTTGGGGTTGTTCACGGGCACACAGCTGGCACTGAAGAACTCGCTCACCGCTGGGCACAGGGAAAGGGCTGTGTTAAGGGGCTGGTGCAGGAAAGGCTCCAGGAAGGAGATGGCAGGGCTGCTCCTCCACAGGGCTGCCCGCCCTGCCTGCCTTCAAGGCCACCCATCTGCTCCACTGACCACCCAGTTCCAGTGACAAATCTCCTGTGAGAATGACAGGGGTGAGAACATGGAGGTTGCTTAGATACAGGAATCCCATGGATAACCTGGTTAGTGGTCACCAAGTCTTACCTGGGACTCCTTTAGGGATGGGGAGCTCACTACTCCGTAAGCTATTCTGTTCCATTCTGGGAGTGGGAGCAGCCAACCCCAACACCCTGTGTGCTTGTGTAGGTGGTTAGAAAGAAGGGCGGTGTTCCCGGGGGCGCCAACCAGGACAGGGATGTGTGTGTGCCGGCCCCAGGATCCCGCCAGCTCCCTCCTGCCCTCCCTTCACCATAAATGTGCCGATTTAACACGTGGGGAGGGCCCACGGATGGCACATGTCGGTGATTGGTACTGACACAGATGGCCGGCCACTCTCCTACAGTCTTCCAGACTCCTAGGGCTGCAGGGTGCGGGGCAGCCCCATGACTGGATGGTGATACGGCCCAGACCACGCATACCCCGCTCCCCATGCCCACCGGAGCCAGCTCCACTTTGAGTCAGTAAGTGGGTAGGGGCACCATGGCACCCCTGATACCCCTGACTGTCCCCATTGTGGCCGAAAATGTTTCCCATCCTTCCCACATCAAGGAAGAAGAGGAGACTCTCTGGGGCTGCCTTCTGTGGGGTCCCAGCCGAGCCCAGGGGGTGGGCAGCACCTGTGAGGACGTCGCAGTCCTTGGGCTGGATGAAGCCCCTTCGCACGAGGGCGCCCACAGGGATGTCCCAGCCAGAGGGGCTGCCGAAGGCCGAGTGGCAGGAGCGCTTGCCCCGAAGCTCGTTCAGGGTGAAGGCGTAGGAGCTGTTCCGCTTCACCACGGCCACCGCGAAGTATGAGTTGCTCCTGTCCTCCGCTGGGGGAAGGGGACATCAGTGAGGCTCCTCCCTGCGCTTTCCTGGCCTCAGCTGGATAAGCACCAGGGGCACATCCCCAGGGGCCCTCCTTCCCTCTGTCTTGTGCTTTGCACCACAGAGCAGTGGTCCTGCCCAGCCCCCCATGCCTGGTCCAGGCCCAGGGTACACAGGTTTGGGGGTCCCAGGCTGAGGGCTGGTGGGTGTGCTGGTGGCACACGTCTGGCAGTGAGACCCATCGCTAAAAAGCAGCTCAGTTCTTCCTCCCATCCCCTCCCCCTCCAAGAGTCCTCACCCAGAGGCATTTCTTTCTTTCCTGACACCCAGGTGGTATTTTTCCCACCTCCTGGGAGAAAGGTGGAGGCACAGCTGAGGTTGCAGAAGCATTCTTTCTAAGCCCAGAGATTTTTCACATCCAGGTGAAAGGGACCTGAGGTCACCTGTAGAGGACAGGCACCAAGGCCTTGGCCCAGGCCCCTGCAAAGGTGGGCATGAGCCAGCGGGAGGTGGGCCGCCTTCCGAGCCACGAGCCACACGGTTGGGCTGCACGAGGCCAAGCAGGCCTAGAGTCCAGGGTCCATAAAGTACTCGGCCTGTTTTGTACGGCCTGGGTTGCAAGCTAAGAAGAGCTTTGATATGTTTAAAGGGTTGTTAAACAAAGAAGAGTATGCAGCAGAATCTGTATATGGCCTGCAAAGCCTAAAGTTCATACTCTGACTCGAGCAAACGTTACAGAAAGTTTGCTGACTCAGGCCAGACTTTCAGGAACTGGATGGGAACGCAGAGGCTTGGGGCAGGAGGCACTTGCTTGGAAACCGGCCAAGGCAGGAAGTATGCATATAGATGTAAGTATCAACCACCCCCAGACAAAGCCAGCAGCCTGGCCCCTGCACTCACGGGCATACTGCTCCCCAGCTGCAGGAACCAGGCCGTATGTCTTCCCTGCTGTGTAAATGTCCTCGCCCCGCAGGGTCACAGCGTCGATTTGCCCAGCCTGTAGGGGGACAGGAAGAGTGGCCAGGCTGGGGTGAGCTCCAGGATGGCTCTGGGTGTCGGATCTGATGGTGGTATGAAGGCCAGGCCTCTTGGGGACTTCGGCCTCAGGCTCTCTTCCCCTGGTGACCTCATCCTACCCCACCAGCCCCACCCTCCTGTTGTGAAGATGTGGGGACAAGCGGAGTGCCTGGAGGACCAGAGGCCCGAAACCGACCGCCACCAGCGCTCCTCCTGTTCATGGGTGTCTATTTCATCCTTTCAGCAAATGTTTTCTGAGGCTATCCTGCTACCAGGAGAGGGTCTCCTGGTTGTGAGGGTCTCCGGACAAAACCTAGCATGATTCCTGCCTACTTGCTTGGTACGGGTTCTCCCCACGAATGCCAGCTCTCAGAGGCCTGGGGCACTTCCTGTACCCGCAGCACCTGGCCAAGAGCCAGCGCACAGCACAGATACAAGACATATTTGCCGAATGTGCGTGCACATGGACGAATGAGCCAGGTCTTAAAAGGAAGCGTCTGCAGGTCTGTGAAGGAGGCTCCAGGGCTGAGGGACAAAGCCCTGTCTCAGGAGGCAGGTGGAGGCGTCCGAGGCTGGGGTCTGGCCTGCACTTAGGGGCCACCCTAAAGGAGCTCCTCACCATCACATCCCACATACTTGCTCTTAAAAACAGGAAGGGAGGAGTCCAGGGACCCAGGAGCTGCTGGGACATCTGTGGCCAAGGTTGGACCTCATCCCTGACTACAGGGTCTCAGGCACCACCGAATCCTGGCCTCCGTCCAATCAGAACAGCAGGACAGAGCTGAACGGGCCTCCGAGACCAGGGTGGTGGCATGTTAGTGGATACCAAGTCAATGTAGTGGGCCATGACAAGCATTTAAAAAAAAAGACTGGAATATAACAGAATAGAAACTATCAGCATACATTACACTTAGTAAGGGACGTACTGTTTTGTTCTATATTTAACATATACGTCTGAAGAAGTTCTGTGTACTAGACTGTGATTGAGGTGAAATGTACTTCTGACTGCAGGTTGCTGGCAAAGTGTTTAACCAACAACGGTCCAGGCCCACCCATACTGTGCACAAGGAAACCTGAGACACAGCGAGGGGAAGGGCTGGCCCAAGTCAGGGTCAGCCAGGGCTGAGCTGGGCTCGTCTCACACTCCTGCTCAGGGAGGAGGAGTCCCTGGGGTCCCCAGGGGAAACAGCTCCCCTCTGCCCTGTTCCCTGGGATGGAGGGAGGCTGGTCCCTGGGGGTCCTTCCGCCTCCCCTGTCCCTGTGGAGCTGTCACAGGAGACCTTCTCCTCCCCAGGCTGCCCTGTGGGACAGGGGGAGGGTGGGCAAGGACCAGCACGGGCACGGCCAGCACTGGCTCACAGGGCCCACCCATCCTGCCCCTCGGTCACGGCCCCACCTGGATGCGTTCCATGCAGTGCTGCGGGGACTCAGCCGACACACACTGGATCTCCGGCCTGAGGCTCTGCCGGCTGAAGGCCACAGCCATGTCCCCGCACTTCTGGATCTCCGGAGTGGACAGCACACACCAGTGCAGGTAGCGGGGCAGCCCTGTGTGAGTGTGAGCACGTGGTCACCACACACTCGCCTGCTTCGGGGGTCGTGCCTCAGTAGCAGAGCTTGGAATCAGACCCAAGGGCAATTTCGGCTCTTCCCATCATTAGCAATAAGGGGTAAGTGATTTAACCTTCTAATCCTGTGCTCCCACACAGAGACAGGATAACTGCCTCTTCCCTGGGGCTGAGAGGAGGCTCCAGGGAGATCAGGGCTGCCGAGTATCTAAGTCGGTGGCTCACATTCCCCTGGTTACAGGTGACGGAGGCTTGGGGAGGGGACTGGAGGCAGGGCCCATGTGTAGACTACTGCAGTAGTCCAGGCGGAGACGGCGCCCGAGCCAGTGCCCAGTGCCCGGCCATGAGGGGGGAGGAGGAGTGAGGCATCGAGGCATCGTGGAAGGAGAAGGACAGCGCTTGATGACTTCAGTGTGGAGGGGGGAGGGAAGAGATTTTCTGGAACCACAGGCCATGCAACTCTAGAGATGCTTCCTCCCAAACCCTGAGGCAGGGCAGGGAAAGTGGCAGGTGCCCCTCCCGGGGTGGTGTCCTGCTGGCCACCTCTCCAGAAAGCCCTGCCATTCTTGCAGTCAGGCTGGTAGGGAATGAGACAGGGGACTTACGGTTGGAGTCACAGAGGAGACCCTTCATGGCCCGCAGGTACTCGGGGCCCAGCCACGCCTCATAGGTCTGTGTGGCGATGGGCACCAGCTCAGTGGTGGCGTCTTTGAATATCAGGTTCTTCTGGCCGTAGGTCTCAGAGCTGAACATCTGGAAGCTACTGTTCATATGGCTGAACAGACGCTGTGTGTCAAGGGGTGGGGGCGGGGGCTGGTGAGGTGCTGCAGGTGCCTCTCTTCCAGTTCAGCCACCACCTCCTTCTTCCTGTGTCCTCAGGGCAGGTGCCCACTGTGAGGGTCAGGTGAGGCACTGCCTCCCTCCCTACTCTGTGCTCCCAGTGCGTCCTGTCTCGCACACTCAGCTGACTGGGCTCAGGACTCAGCCCAGGTGTGGGTTGGTACCAAGAACAAGCAATGGGGCAGGGCAGTGGTGGCATGAGTGAGGCAAAACTAAAGCAGGTGTGCCCAGGAGTCAGTAACTTGCTCTTGCAAGCAGTGGTTTTAGCAAAACATTATTTACCACATATTAATAATGGGGTACACCCGACTGGTGTGGCTCAGTGGTTGAGCGTTGACCCATGTATCAAGAGGTTGCCGGTTCGATTCCTGGTCAGGGCACATGCCCAGGTTGTGGACCCGATCCCCAGAGGGGGTGCAGGAGGCGGCCAACTGATGTGCTCTCTCATCAATGTTTCTATCTCTCTCCCTCTCCCTTCCTCTCTCTCTAAAAAAAATCAATAAAAAGAAGAAAAATGATAATGGTCTACTTGGACGTTCATTGGTGTTGTCGTTTTGTTTATTTGCTCATGTAATCTGGCTTTGCTGCTAAGAGCCAGCTGGCACAGTTGGTCCCTCCTTACATTGACCTGGCCTGAGGCTGGACACCACAGAGGCCTGGGTCCCCAGCTGGGGTGTGTCACAGGGGAGGGCCTCTGGTGTGGCTGGCCCCGCTTCAGGGTGGCTCTAGCTCTGAGCTCCCTCCCTGGTGAGAAATAAGGTCCAGCACCCCTCAGGAAGCTGTGTGGGGTGCCGTGAACTCACCTGGCCTTCGTTGAGCAGCCGAAAAATGAGGCCTCCATCTGTGTCAGCCCGGACCACCACGGCATGAGCAGGCACCCGGGCCAGGTGACATTGTCTCCATTCAGTGACATCGGCCCAGCTGCCATCTGGGCACAGCAGTTTGAAGTCCTGTGACAGCAGCCCCTGGCCCCAGGAGGGCAGGGTTTTCCCTGGGAAATGGGGAAGCGCTGATGAGCCTAATCTTGTCTGTTGGAGAGGGGACCTTAGGAGGGCCTCAGGGATAGCCCAGGAGAGGGAGCCTGGAAGTTAGGGTGTCCTGGGCCACAGAACCATTGTGAAAAGAAACTCTTCCAGGAGGTGAGACCAGGACCACACCAGGAGGTGAGCAGAACCACACCAGCAGGTGAGCAGAACCACACCAACAGGTGAGACCAGAACCACACCAGCAGGTGAGACCAGAACCACACCAGCAGGTGAGCAGAACCACACCAGCAGGTGAGACCAGAACCACACCAGCAGGTGAGCAGAACCACACCAGCAGGTGAGCAGAACCACACCAGCAGGTGAGACCAGAACCACACCAGCAGGTGAGCAGAACCACACCAGCAGGTGAGCAGAACCACACCAACAGGTGAGACCAGAACCACACCAGCAGGTGAGACCAGAACCACACCAGCAGGTGAGCAGAACCACACCAGCAGGTGAGCAGAACCACACCAGCAGGTGAGACCAGAACCACACCAGCAGGTGAGCAGAACCACACCAGCAGGTGAGCAGAACCACACCAGCAGGTGAGACCAGAACCACACCAGCAGGTGAGCAGAACCACACCAGCAGGTGAACTCAGAATGGAGAGGAGCTCGGTGGCTCTACAAGACCAGGCGTCTCGATAGACTGTGTCTATTTTCTTAAATTTTCTACCTCTTACCATTTTCCACCAGTAAGATGGATTTGAGGTAATAACACAACACATATAAACAAAACTGTTTATTAAAGATAAAAAGAGTAAGAGAAGCTTAAAATGAGAGAGAGACACATGCCAGGAGTTCACTGCTGCCATCACGCACTACCTCTGGCTCTGAGCAGAGGGCAGAGGGCAGAGGGCAGAGGGCAGGGTGCCACGGTGGATACAAACCCTGACAGAATCCACCCAGAGCTGTGTCCCAGAGAGGAAAGGGTAAGTCTTCAAAGCTTCACCCATATATTCCAACATTAATCCACCTATTAATATTTTGGTATATTTCTTCCAGGTCCTTTTTTTCTATTCTAATTTCTAACCATTTTAAATATGGTTAAGGATGTACTTGATAGGTAATCCTGCATCCTGCTTTTATTCATTTGCCTTTTTTTTTTCTTATCCTCACTCGAGGACACCTTTCCACTTTTTATCCAGATAGAGCGGGAGGGAGAGAGAGGAAGAGAGAGAGAGAGAAACATCGACGCGAAAGGGACACATCGGGTGGTCACCACCCACACCACCCAACCAGGGCCGGGGACAAACTGCAGCCGAGGTACGTGCCCTCAGCGGGAACCGAACCGGGCCTCTCCGGACCACAGGCAGACGCTCCAATCGCTGAGCCAAACAAGCCAGGGCTCATTTGTCATTTTAAAGTAATTTTTCTCATTAATGGAAACTTTCCATAAAACTTATTTATAATAGAAAACAAATTTACTTGAAAGAGTGAATATTGACACCAAATAGGAAAATGAAGAAGACTATTTTAAAATGAGGAGGATAAGCCTGTTCTAGGAAATAGAAGGGAAAAGATTATTTGTGGGATCATGAAAACTCTGTTCACCCCAAAACCATTTTAAAAACAAAAACCCAAACCAAGAAAGTAATGGTTTGGAAAACTCCATAAAGGTCATTTTTTATGACTGCATAATAATTTATAGTATCTTACCAATTAGTTAGTGTCATTCTCTCCCCACTTCCTAACTTTTCTCTATTTTTATTTTTAATTTTTTTTTCATGTCCCAATCTTTGTGCTTTATTACTGGAATTATTTTAAAGGTGCTGCTCACTCTCTGAGTGAAGGGGAAAGTGGGAGAAGGCATTATTTTCTTCCGGGGGATGCTACATTCTCTATTTTTAAACTTCTGCAGAACCCTTGTATAAAACTGAAGAATCAATGTCCTTCCTGCGAGACAAAGTCATCTTGTAGGTATTCCCGCCTGCCATTCCTGTCCCCCAGAGCTGGGGACCATCACCGGCATATTACTTCACTAATTTAGATGCTTATATCAGCTCCACTCTTTGGTTCTTGCCAATCTTTTTGCATGATTACTCTTTAAAAATTACTACCTCTTCTAGGTATCTGCTTGAAAACATTTATTTGTAAAGATATATGTACCCCTATGCTCACTGCAGCATTATTCACAGTAGCTAAGACATGGAAACAACTGAAGTGTCCTTTGATAGATGATTAGATAAAGAAGATGTGGTGTAGCCCTGGCAGTGTTGCTCAGTGGTTAGTGTGTCAGCCTGTGTACAGAAGGGTCATGGAGTTCAATTCCTGGTCAAGAACATGTACCTGGGTTGCAGGTTTGATCCCTGGCCCTGGTTGGGGCACGTGTGGGGGCAACCAATTGATGTGTCTCTCTCACATCAATGTTTTTCTCTCTCTTCCTCCTCCCTCTCTCCCTTCCACTCTCTCTAAAAATCAATGAAAAAAATATCTTCAGGTGAGGATTAACAACAACAAAAATGAAGATGGGGTAGGGGTACATATATACAATGGAATACTACTCAGCCATAAGAAAGGATTAAATACTGCCATTTACAACAACATGGATGGATCTCGAGAGTATGATGCTAAACAATATAAATCAGATGGAAAAGGACAAGAACCACGTGATTTCACTAATACGTGGAATGTAAAACAGAAAACAACAAACAAATAAAAAATAAACAGGAACTCATAGACACAGACAACAGAAGGGTGGTTACCAGAGGAGAAGAGGGGTACAGGAAAATAAAGAGGGTAAAGGGGTCAAATACATGTGACAGAAGGAGACTGGACTTTGGGTGGTGAACACATAACACAATGTACAGATCATGTATTATAGAATGTACACTGGAACGTTATATAATTAACTAATGTCACCACAATACAACTAATAAAAAGATGGTATGGTAGGATTTGCCTTGTCTACCTCACCAAGTTGTAGTAAAACTTTAAAGAAATCATAATAAAAATTACTTCCTTAGATTTCCTTAGAATATCATCAACATTTTAAAAGAGCCGATTTTAACTAAATACATCCCCATTCTTTCTCCGCCTTCTAAACTCCGCTTTGCTTGACTCATCCTGGGGCCTAAGTCCCTGCTGCCTTTTCTCAAGATCAGGAGTCCTGCTCTGGAGACAGTCCTATTGTGCTCCTTCCATTTTTAGATCACTTTTTTCTTTCTCAAATCTGGCTAATATTGTTTGTCTTCATAAATGTCAGACTACATAATGGACCTTTTGATTTAAAAGGCAAATATTAACAAAAAAATACTTTACTTTAAAAAAATGTACTATGGCCTTGGCCAGTTTGGCTCAGGGGTTAGAGCGTCGGCCTGCAGTCCAGAGAGACTCGGGTTCGGTTTCCGCTAAGGGCATGTAACTCGGTTGCAGTTTGTCCCCGGCCCTGGTTGGTCATGCGGGTGGCAGCCACTCGATGTGTCCCTTTCACATCGATGTTTCTCTCTCTCTCTTCCTCACTCTCCCTCCCACTCTATCTGAACAAAAAATGGGAAAAAATGTCCTTGGGTGAGGATTAAAAACAAAAAATGGACTATGATCAGACTTTGGAACAGGCAGAACTATAGCAACAGAAGTCTGATTGGTGGTTGCCATGGTGGGGTGGGGTGGGGTGGACTAGAAGAAAATTTTGGGGTGAAAATTTTGCAATCACCCTCTTGATTGTGGTGGTAGTTATACAACTGCTAGTTTTTGGCAAAACTCATAGAACTATACTTTTAAAAGGCTGCATTTTAGCTATATATAAATTATACCTCAATTAAAAATAATAATCCTTAGGTAAACCCAAATTAGGGGACATTCTATAAAATAACTGGCCTGGCCCTGGCTGGTTTGGCTCAGTGGTTAGAGCGTGCTCCTGCGGACCAATGAGTCTCGGGTTTGATTCTGATTAAGGGCGCTTACCTCGGTTGCCGGCCCAGGTTGGGGTCGTGCGGGAGGCAGCCAGTCCATGTGTTTCTTTCACAGCAGTGTTTTCTCTCTCCCTCTTCCCCTCTCTCCCTCCCATTCTATCTGAACAAATAAAAAACATATATATATAGCCTGACTCTTCAAAAATGCCAATGTCACAAAAACAAACAAATGAAAAATTCAGGAAACTGTTCAAAGCTAAAGAAAACGGAAAAGACCTAATAACTAAATATCATCTATTAGGTCCTGGCCTGAAAAACACTGCTGCAAGGAACAGAACTGGGACAATTAATGAATCTAAAATGGACTGTAGATTCGATAATAGTATTATGTCAACGTTACATTTCCCGAGACTGACAGCTGTAGTGTTGGTCCCCCTCGCCCTGTTCTCAGAGATACGCACTGAAGCACGGAAGGGGTGACACGGGCAAAAACACTCTCAAACGGCTCAGAAAGAACACACACAGGGAGACACAACAGTGAGTCAGTATGTCACAGGCTGAAAGTTGGTACCCTGGTGAAAAATAAAGCGGAATTCTTTGAGTTATTCTTTGTTTTTTAATCCTCACTCAAGGACATTTTTCCATTTTTTGTTCAGATAGAGTGGGAGGGAGAAAGAGGGGGAGAGAGAGAGAGAGAGAGAGAGAGAGAGAGAAACATCGACGTGAAAGGGACACATCGAGTGGTTGCCACCCACACAACCCAACCAGGGCCGGGGACACACTGCAACTGAGGTATGCGCCCTTAGAGGAACCGATCCCAGGTCTCTCTGGACCGCAGGCCCACGCTCTAACCTCTGAGCCAAACCGGCCAGGGCCTTTGAGTTATTCTTGAAACTTTTCTAAAGCTCAGTTATTTCAGAATTTAAAAAAAATTTAAATGACAAGGATATAATGGATCAACACATAACACCTTGTCCAGGGATGAAGGGGCAGCTTCTTCAGATAAGAGAAAAATGCCAGGAATGGGTGGTAGATGAGTTAGTGCAGAGGTTTACACACTTTTTTTGGCAAAGCGGAACCCAATCTTCACGTGGAAACAGACCCCAGTACGGTATAGGAATCAGGGCAGTCAGGGCTGCTCACTGGCCCGTGCCCGCAGAGCAGGGTGAACTCCCTTGCTGAGACCCCCCTTCCTTTCCCTGCCCCGGGGCCAGGGGCTGCTCCCACTCACCGTCCGTGTTCTCCAGGACAGTGCTGTGCTTCACAAAGGCCACGTCCCCTGCCCCTTCTGCCAGACACCTGCAGAGGAGAACCCGTGAGCCTGGCAGGGCTGAGCTCCCCAGACTGGCAGCGCCAGCCCATCCTCCACCTCTGGAGTCCGGCTGGGACGGTTAGAGGTGGGGGTGTCACGGTGGGGTCGGTTTCCAGCTCCGTGTGGCTTTGCCAAGCTGTGGAGACGGCCGAGCCTCACCGCCTGTGACGTGGGGGTGGGAAAGTGGCTCCATGGGAGAGATGCTTTGTAGCCTGTGTGGATTCTGCACAGCAGGGTTGAAAGGAGCGGATCCTGTGGCGGCAGCGGCAGCCTTAACGCCCAGAGGGTTTTGAAGATGACCTGAGGCAGGGCCTTGGACCAGCCCTTCTCATGCTGGGACACAAGCCTTGAGTGAATGGGACCAGGACTTTTATGGGTCCTCTATATGTTACTGCCCAGTGAGCGAGGCCGGTCAGAGCCTACGGGCAAGGGGGCTGCCTGGGTCTCCACAGCCAGCAAGTGAGCAGGGACTGGACTGGGGGGACGACACCAGGGGAGGTGGGGTGGTCGACAGTCTCTGGCTGGGAGGACAGATGGCTGTTTTCTCTCTGTGCTAAGAACTGCCTTTCCCCAGACCCCAGGCTGGAGCGTGGGCACAGCAGGCTGCCCGCGTCCAGTGCCGACCGAGGCCAGGGCGGGGAGAGGGCTCAGCGGCTTCCATTCCAGCCCCGGGAGCACGGCCCCTCCTTAATGGACTGACCACGTGCGCCAGTTGTTAGAGCCTCGGTTTCGGACCCACAGCAGGCTCGTCTAAAGGGCCAGCCTGAAGCCGGGGTCCCCGCCACGTTCCCACCCCCACCGCCCTCCCGCTGCCCCGAGACGCCAGAATGGACCCGGGAGGGGCAAAAGGCTGTTTTGTCACTTTCTCCTCTCTGAGTCCTCACCTCTCTAAATATACCAAACATGTTGACTTATGAGCAAATCCAGTCTGGCGTATTCCGGTTTGGTGTTTTTAAATCAATTAGGGCACATGAACTATATAAAGGGCGCTTTGATGTGAGGCCCCTCCCCCCAGGGCCCTGGGCTAAGTGTTTGCCCGGCTCTGCGGCCCCGGCCACAGCCCGGCTCGCCCAGCGCCAGCCCCGCCCAGGCCCCTCTCACCGGAAGGCCCCGCTGTAGTCGTAGTATCTCTCCAGGGGGCTCTTGTCACACACCCCCTCCCCAGCGTCGTTGCCCCGGCAGAGGCGACAGAGGGACTTGGAGTAACTGGTCTCTCCTGCCCCTGGGACGCAGCTGCCCCCAAAATACTCGCTGACAGCTGCGGGAAGGAGGGAGAGGGAGGTCAGCCAGCTGTACAGCGGGGTCAGACCCCTTGCCCTGTCCCCTAGGGAGGGCTCAGGCCACTCAGGCTGGAGTGGAGGGCTGGGCTCCCCAGGGACAAGGCTGGACCGGTCAGGCTTCAGTTTGAATAAAACTGGGGAAATGGATCCGATCAGTGATTCCCAAACTGAGCCACAAAAGTGTGGGCATTGGGGCATGACTGTTGCTACTCAAAAGTGGCCCAGGTAAAGAAAACATTTCCCCCCAAATAGCCAGATAGGACAATGAAATATTGACTAGACACTGTTCTTATTGAGGGTTTCAAAATCAGTTTGGGTAATCAGTGGAAGCAGGGAAAATAAATGATTACTTAACAATTATAATTAATTTGATAGACAACAGGGTAGGGAGGGAAACCGAGGAGAGGGAGCTGTCCTGGTGAAGAGGTTGGATCTGCATGGTTTCCGGGCTCCGGCCAGCACCGAGGCCTGTGTCCACCCTCTTGACAAATATTTACCCTGTGCTGCGGACACTCCTGGGCCACACGGGGGGAGTAGGACGGAGTCACATCGTGTTCATCACCCCACTAGACTGAGCTCTTCCAGGGTGGGCCCCCTTTCTTGGTATTTTTTGCATTCTCCCAGGGAAGAAGACATTTAATAATTGTGCCAAGTGACTGATAAACTACTCACACCAGCCACCATCTGAGAGGACATGGCTCCCGGGCTTCTATGAGACCTGCTGACTCACACTGTGGTTGGGTGGCATGGGGGCAGTACACACATGTGTATACATATGTGTCATGTGAGTTTGTGCATGTGTGTACATGATACATGTGTATGCACAACAGTGAGGTGCCCGCCAAGAGGTATGGAAGTTGAATTCCTAGTAACTACAGCTCCCTGAGGTGAGCTCTACCCTGCGCCACACTCTGCAAAGACACTGTGTGTGTTCTCAGGCCTCCCAACCTCACAGCACTGCAGTTAGTTTTCCCATGTTACAAGATGAGGACACTGAGGTTCAAGGAGGTAGAGTAGCTTATCTGAGGGCAGCTCATCTAACCACCTATCTGACAGCAAAGTCGGGGCTTTAAAACACCATTTTTTCTCTTGCAAAATCCCCGTCCTGCACCCACCCCCAGAAGCATGGGTCAGCTGTGGAGCACACCAGGATGCAGCACACTGTGGACAAGGGATTTGGGGGCACCCCAAGCTCCGTAGAGGTTGGTGTGATCCCGGGAAGGCAGTTTAAAAATGTGGTGGTTGTGTCAGGGGCCACCTCAGTGCTGTATTGTGTCCACTGTGGAGAGAGTGACATGGCTAGGTGGCCAGCAGGTGACCAGGAAAAGAAGCCCAAAGTATGAGAAGCAGGGCTTCAGCCCAGGCCACCAGCACGAGGCTCTGGGATCTTAGCCGGGTCTTCAGGCCTTCACCTGACACCCCACACGCATCTCCTTCCCATCCACCCCATTCCGATCACTCTCAACTCCCTTCTACAGGGAATTTCTTACGTGCTCCACAGACCTATTCTCACTTCAGAGGGGCTTTCTGGGTGCAAGCCAGAAGCTTGTTTGGGTCCTGAAGAAATAGTTTCCGACTCTGTAAAGCTGACAACACATTTCTGGAAATAGTGACCTACACCAGGTCTACACCAGGCGAGAGCTACTTCTTGGTGATTCACCGAGTCCCAACGGGCCCTGGGTGTCAGGACACCGTGGGAGTGAGTGAGAGTTGAGGGCTCTGGAGGGGCCTTCAAGCAGAAACTAAACTGGTGGCAACAGGGGGCAGGCCCGCCAGAAAGACCAGGGGACGGTACACCGATTAGGTGTCTGGAGGCCCCTGGAGAGTGGACAGTGCTGCTCCTTAAAGGAAATGCAAGAGGAAGGTCAGCCTGGAGGGAGGCTGTCCTGTGAGGGGAAGAGCAGGGATGAAGCAAGGGGAGGGGAGACGCAGGGATGCCACAGGAGAAGCTTGTGCTGCCCAAAGCCCTCACCTTTGAGCACGTCACATCCCATCACCGAGAGGCTGCCACTCTCTACCAGGTAGCCCACGGGCACGTTCCAGCCCACTGTCCTGTTGATGCCCGTGTGGCAGGACCTCATGCCCTTCAGGGTGTTGATGGTTAGGTTGGAGCTCCTCTTGACCACAGCTACTGCATAATAGGAGGTACCAACCTCTAGAAGGAGGAGAGGAGAGGCATGAGGGCGGCAAGGGAGAGCCTGAGAGAGGCTGGGACCCTGCCTGGGAAGTTTGGGGTAAAAGGGTCTGTGTGCGTATGTGAACCTGTGCATGTATGGATGTACATGCGTATGTGTGCATGGTATTCAGTTACCGAGAGAGCAAGTGAGTGCAAGTGAGTTTCTTCGCACAGGGCCCGCCCTCCTCCAACCTCAGGTGGTACATGTCGTCGAGACATATTATTTCATTAGTTAATTTTCATCTTTCCTTCCTAAGTCAGCTGGCACTTAGCTGGGTCATGTCATTTGTACAGGTCAGGGGAGCTCGGTAGCTGGACCATCGGCAGAAATGGTATGCACAGTTTTGTTTTCCAAAACTGAAGGCCCTTTGGAGAACTTAGAAGGATTGAGAGAGTGGTAGTGTGGTTATGGGAAGAACGTTTGGGAGGAGCAGGGGGAGCAGGGCAGTGGCTTCCCCAGATTAGAAAAAGTGATTTCCTAGTGCTGAGGAGAAGGGGAGGGGGGTGGGGGTGGGGAGAGAGAGAGAGAGGAACAATGTAGTCCCATATCACTCAAGACCCTGACTGGGGTGCATGTGGGTGGGCAGGAGTCCACAGCTTTGCAAAAGATTCCCCCCCGGGCCAAAGTGCCGAGAAGGGGCCATTCAGACAAGACAGGGATGATTCAGCTCTGGGGACTGATGACCAGAGGGCACCCTCCCACTGATATGGTGCACTGCCCTGTGGTGGTGGGTGCCCTCGATCAGAATGAAGTTGAGTTCTAGAAAACAAGCCACTATAATTTCTTGCACACCTGAGTCTGGGCCCTGGCAATCTAAGTAGCCTAGTCTGGTCCCACCTTCTGACTTGCCCACTGTGACTTTTTTTGTAGTTCCTTGAACACAGCAAGCTCTTTCCCACCTGAGACTCTTATCTGGGTTCCACGTAATGTCACCTCCCTAGATAAGCAGACAGGAGTCTGTTCTATTTCAATAGGTCTCCCTACGCCCCTTATTTTCGCCCTGATGGCCTTGACTTTTTCAAGTACCCACCACATGTGTGACTACATTTTTTGGGTGTTTATTTGTTTATTATCTGACTCCTGCTCTGTGAGGGCAGAAACCGGCTCTCTTTTGCTTACTGGTGGTGTATGACTGGCATGTGGTAGGTGCTTAGTAAATGTGTTGAACTAATTAAAGAGGAACGGCTATATTTGGGGCCCATGGAGCAGGGCTGTTTCTGGCCATTAAGTGAAAAGGCTTGCTAGTTTGCAGGGCTGGACCGTGTCCTATAGCATCTGACAGTCATTGATTCAACAAGTAACCGAGAGCGATCTTGTGCTGGGCACTGAACATGGGGACAGGGCCTCCTCAGGGGACTCACTATGGGGAGGACAAAGACAACAAGACAGAGGCCTCAGCAGAGTGAGTCTGTGCTCCAGGAAGCAGGAGAGAGAGACCCTTTGCAGGGGTGAGAGGCCCAGGGGGCTCCTTGGAGACGTTAACCAAGCTGGGCTGTGACAGAGGCTAGGCATGCGACACGTGGTGGGGGAGGGGCAACTGGCAGGCTGAGCCTGAGGTGTGTCTGGTGTGAAGTGCAGGGACAGGGGCAAAGGAACTCACATTTCCCACCATGTATCACAGGTCAGGTGCTCCCACATGGGCTCATTTAGTCTGTGACAGGGCAGAGATCACTATCCCCATTTGTAGTCAAGGAAGTGGAGGTTGTCCAAGGGCACAGGAGGCCACAGGAAGGGGCAGAGCTGGGATTTGTGTTTGGTATGTGGGCTCTGCAGCTCCTGGTCACCACCTCTTGCCTGGCCCCCTCTCCATTCCTCCAGCTTCTGACAGCCGCCACTCAAGTGTGAGGTAGCTGGGCATTACTGAGGCCTCTGCGCCCCAGGCGATCACGCCCGGCACTGTACCAGGCTCGGGCAGCCCCAGTGTGTGGGTGAAAGTTAGGGGGCTGCTGGATCCCCATGAGGAAGAACACATGCGGGCCAGCCCTCTGTGTTTCTGGCACCCCCGCTTTCATGGAAAGGGGGTTTTCAAGAAGATTCAGGGGGCCCTCTGAAGGTTTGTGCGCCAGGACTCCAGGACTGCACTGACAGGGCTATTGACCAGCTCCAAGGCTTCAGGTGGGGTCAGGCCCAGCAAGGACACCTGCTGAGCGACTTCTTCTCTCCTCTCCCACCCCCTCTCCTCCCGCTGGGCCCTCTGACCTTGATCATACACTTCACCCACCACGGGCTTCAGGCCGAGCTCCTTTCCGGCCTCGTAAATGGCTCCTCCATCCAGAGTGATGGCATCAGCTTCCCGAGCCTGCTGGGAACATGAGTCAGCACCCCCCACCCTCTCCCCCCACCCCGCCTCACTCAGCTCACTGAGGGAGAAGCTCAGGGACACCCACCCAAGGCTTATGCAAAGCCCTGGAGGTCCACACGGGTCCTTTCAGTCTGGCTCAGGAGTCCTGTCCTGGCTCAGCCTCGCAGGTCCTTCCTCCACCAGGGCCTATGGGTCACCCCTTTACCAGGCCCAAAGTGACAGCTCTCCTAGGCCAAGAGTTCACCTTGTTTCTCTAATTATGTTATTTGAAAAATATTAACTTTATAGGACTTACGAAAAATGAACATAGTAAAAAATCAGATAGTACAAGACAGTATGTAGTGGAAAGTGAATCCCCTCACTGTCTTGTTTCCTAGCCTCTGCTAACCTCTTCCTCGGGTTTTCTCTGCAAGGTGAATCCCATAAATGCATGCCCTCTTCAACTTGTCCCTTTTTCTTTTAAAACACAAATGGCAGTATACTATCAGTGTGCCACAGGGGCCCCGGAATAGAATAGTTCAGTAGAGCCGGTTTGTACCCATGTGGGCCTGGATCAGGCCAGGGGCACAGCAAAGGCTGAGCTGAGGTGAAAACCAGGTCCCCTTGCTTGCCCCTGAGGTTTCCCTCCGTGCCTGTGCTGCCACTAAAGTCCTGCCTCTGAGTATCATCAGTGCCAAGTCAGCAGATCTCCTGCCCCTCAGAGCCCTTTTCCCACCCCCACTCACCCACGCAGGACCACTGTCCTCTGTTCCTCCTTCCCCAGAAACCACACAAACCCCGTTCTGGAAAACTCCATGGCACAGTGAGTAACCACCACAGGATTCTGCTGTCTGGTTCCCTCGGTGGGGTGGGCAGTGTCCCCACTCTAGCACGAGACTTGTGGAAGAAAAACTCTGCCTCTCAGACACCTTTCCCCACTGGTGCCCATCTGAGCAGGGGCCCTCTCTGAGGCCTCCCAGCGCTTGGCCTGGGCCTGGGCAGGAAACAAGCTGGCCAGTTGTTGCCTGGGAAACTCAGGAGATCCTATGGCCCAAGCCTGGCAGGGGGGATATCATGCTTTTCCCAGTGACTGAGGCTGCTGTGTGCTCCCTTCTGAGTCAGAGCTCTCCTGTGTGGCCGGCAGAGGTGGCGGAGTGCGAGGGAGAGGACTCACCGAGATGAGCTGGACACAGTGGTCGGCTGAGGTGCCCTGGACGCACAGAAGGGAGGGCTGGATCCCGGCTCTCTGGAAGGCCTTGCTCATGTCACTGCACTTCTGCTGCTCGGGGTCTGAGGTGGTGCACCACTGCACCTCCCTCCCGCTGAGCGCTGGGGGAGGGGACAGTGAGGCCCAGTCCCCAGGCATCCCAGCCCCCACCGAGGAGGAGGGCTGCAGCAGCTCTTTGTGATCCTCTTCCACAACAGCACAGCCCTCCCACTGGGACCCACTGAGGCACAAAGAGGTGTCACAGACTGGGAAGGGCTGGCTCACCGGCAGAGCTGTGTGGGGCCATGTAGGTCCCTGGCTCAGGACAGTTGGATGGTTCAGCCTGGCTCTTACAGAGGTGAGGGAGTGTCTCCCAGGCATCGGTTGGCTACCTTTCCCTCCCTGCCATCCTGGAGCACACATAGCCTGGGGTGTGGAAGGAGCACCGGCCGGGAGTCCTGCAGGCTCTGTGACTAGGCCGGTTCCTGCTCCTCCTGGGGCCTGTGTCCTCCCAGAGGATGCTGGACTGGGTTCCTCACTAAGCCAGGTCCCTGGGCCCTCCTCATTAAACTGGGACAGGAGACAGGGAGGTGGTTGTGGGTGCCCTTGAGGAGCCTGGCACCCTCCTGGAGCATCTTTGATTGTATGCCCCATTGCAAACCCACCCGCGGGGGCACAGTGCCAGGCCCTGACAAGGAGAGGCCCAGGACTCAGCAGTCTAGCTTCCAGTTCCTACTCCTTCAGCTGGTGACTTCAGGCAACTTATTTGACCTCTCTGAGCCTGTTTCAGAGGAGAAAACCCACTTCTGTGTTGTAAATAAACCATTGCTGGCACAGGACACACGGGTCCTCAATGGACTTCCATCTTGGGACTCTCCTTCTGGTGGGAACCTTGTTGGGTTCCACGATCTGACCAGGTCAGAGGCCTGGAGAGCTCCGGCCTCGGGCCCAGAAGAGTGATGCAGAGTTCCCGAGATTGCGGATGTCCCCAGCCTCCCTTCCACCAGCCCTCCGTCCGTCTCCCCAACTCGGGGCGACCCCCGGAATGTGGACCGGCCTTCCCCTCTATAGTGCTCCAGGACTGCACCCCGGTAGGCCGGGCAGTCGCCGAGCTGCGACCGGGGTGGCGGTCAGAGCGATGACAGTCTCCGCCCGCGACCCCTGCGAGCAGTTACCGAAGTACCGCCCTGACTCCCTTGGGAGGAGGGCGTTACGGACGCGCGGAGACCCCGTCTGTGCCCCCTTCTCCATCCCCGCACCTGCAGGGCGCCCTGGGGCGGTCTCCGGGAGGTACCTCGCTCCTCCTCTCCTCTCATCCTCCGGACTCGTCTCCCGTCTCCTGTCTCCCTCCCCGAGGGGACTCCAGAGAAGTGGAGTCGCTCTGGCCCCCAATCCCTCCTCTGGCTTCCACGCCCATCAAGGGCGCCCCCCTCCCCATCCTCCCGACCCGCCAGGCTTCCCCGCGCCTCTCCTAGGCGCGTCAGAAGGTCCGCTTTTCCAATATCAGCTCACTGCTGCTTCTTCCACGAAGCCCTCCAGACATCCCTCTACCGTCCTCATCCGCGAGACGCGGGTTCAGGACACACTTCCCAGCCCCCGGCCTCTGCTCAGGGCCGTTGGAGAGTTCCAGGGCCCCTGCCCCGGGTCCTGCCCCCACGGCGGGGTAGCGGGGCCTCACCAGTGCGCAGAGCCAGGAAGAGCCACAGAGCCACACTCGGGCCTTGCATGGCGCGGTCTAGAGCCGTGTTCGGTGTGGGTTGGGTTAAAGGTGGGTCCGAGTGGGTCAGCAGCAGCTAGAGCTTTCTCCTTTCTTCCCCCCGCTCGGGCTGTCAGCCCTGTGGAGGGTGGCCGGGGCGTGCCTTGGCGGTGTCCACGCCCCCGGGGCGCACCCGCCCACCTCAGACCGGACACCTGGAGGACCAGACTGGCCTTGGCCTTCTCTCTGGCGCCGCTTTCTGGAACCGCGGCTGGTGTGGGGGCCGGGTTTCACCGCGGGGCTGTCGGGATCCCGGTGCTCGCCTGGGCGCGCACTCAGCGAGCTGTCCCTGAGTCAGGTATCTGCCCTCCGACTCCCTTAACTCAACGCCTGTTCCCAGGGCGCGCGCTCCTCAGCGACTGGCGGGCCAGCGGGAGCATCTTCACGTCCTCTTTTCCCAGAAAGACTCCAAATACCATGTACAGTTGGAGAGGGGAAAGCTCAGATTGTTAAGGAAAAAGAGGTCAGAATCCCAGAGTCTGAGCTGGAAGGAAGCTGAAGGGCCTCAAATTCATTCACCAGCCTCCCTTCAGGCATATACTGTACCAAGGATCTGGGGACAGAGAGGCAAATCTTGGTGGATTCGATCCTGGCTGGGAAGGAGTTGCCCTGGAGGGACTTCACATTCTAGGTGACTGCCTCAGCTTGGACCTAAAGAGGGGAAGTGACCTGCCCCAGGTCACACATTTAGTCAGTGACAGGGCTGGAGCTAGAACCCAGGTCCTCAGTAGAGCCTGGCTCATTCCATCATGCTTTGGAAGATGGGAAGCAGACCGAAGAGGGGGAGGAGGAGGAAGCAGAAAAGGACAAAGCAGGTGAGAGGAGGAAGCCAATGAAGAAGGTGAGGAAGGAAAAGATTGGTTGCTTATTTTTCTAGAACAGTGTTTTTTTTCAAAGTGTGGTTTCCAGACCAGCAGCAGCAGCAGCAGCAGCAGCATAACCTTGAACTTGTTAGATACGCAAATTCTCAGGCCCACCTCTTACCCACAGAGCTGAGTTTGAGAACCGCTGTTCTAGGTAGACCAGAACTGCAGTGCTCCATGCGTGCTGGGGATATGAAGAGTGGACTGCAGAAATTTTACTCAGTCACCTGCCTCCATTTATGTCCTTATCTTTTATCATCCGCCTCAAGAGTACCCAGGACTGACATCCTCCCTGTCTTGAGTAGAGGATACATGTACTAAGAACAACGAGCGAGAGAAAAGGGGTCTCTGGGTCTGGGTTTGTCAATCCTTGAGCCTGGCTCCTCTGCTTGGGCCATGAAGCTGCTGCTTCTCACACACAGATATGATCATGAGGTCTGGGCTTCAGGAGACCTGAGCTCTTCTCTCATCACCCACTCACTGTGGGACCTCAGCCAAGTTCCTTCTCTCTGAGCTTCCTATGTCAAAGGAAGATCATGATGGCTCCATTCTTCGTCCCCTACTGGCTGTCTGCTCTGGAGAATCTGAGGGGGGCACGTGTGGTACAAGCTGTGTTGCCATCCCCAGCTACAGTTACCAAGAGAATGAGGCATCTCTTTCTAACTCGCACAAATGGACTGGCAGGTGGCCCTGGCAGAGGGCCTATGGCCTGTCCTAAGGGGATGGAATAAATGAAGTGTCCTTAGCAAGCCTCACTCTCCTGACTGTGAAGATGAAAAGGCTCATTTTGCATACTCCACGAGCAAGCAGAAGGTGTTGGCAGGATATGTACTCATTGTTCCTTTAGCAAAACTCCAGGTGACGATGATAAGGTGTCAGACAGCTACAACCAAAGAGCTTGGTGAGCTCCTTCACAGTGAGGTCTTTTTCCAAACTCTCAGAGGTTACTCCTTAACTGTGAATTTGCTGCCTCCGGACTCCAGGCCCTTCTAGATCAGGCCCATTTGCCTGGTATTAACATGCATGTTGCTTTGTATTGACATCCGCGTGTAATAGGGAACTCTGCCTCAGCCTGAGCCATTTCTGAGGCATACGTGGGTGATCAAAGGAATGGGTGGAATGCAATGAGGGTATAATGAGCCAGTAATTTAACCAAGGAATAGCCTTATAGAGAAGCAGAAGCACTGAGGTTAATTGGGTCCCCATTCTGGGTTCATATCGAGGTGAGAGAGTATAAAAAAGATAAGAACTGGTTTCACTAACACTTCCGTAATATGTTGGGGCCTAAGCAACACTGCTTTGGGAACCCCTGACCCTACTCCATGATATGAGCTCTTCTTCACTCTGCCAAAGCCACAGCTCTGGCACTCCAAAGGTTCAGGGTGCCCACCAGCATGGAGCTTGCTCATCAGGGAACTGGAATACACTAAAGACAGCCTCTGGGGACTCAGAAAGAAGAGAGGCCTTTGATGGGGCAGAGAGCTTGTACTGGTAGGTGAGGGGGCTAATGAGCCAGCAAAATGTGGATGAACAATTCCTCTACCCAGAATCTTAGAAAAATTAATGTTTTTTCATTTCAACAACCATACTTTATATTTTTCTATATAAAGTAATGTCTTTGACTAACTAGGAACATGTCCAATTTTTATTTTGGGACATTTGGAAGGGCTGGTATGCCCTTAGGTATGGTGAACATTTGCAGCAGTAAATGTGTTATCAAAGAATATCACCCTCTTACAGTAAGTCCTCACTGAATGTCATTGATAGGTTCTTGGAAACTGCAGCTTTAAGGGAAATGATGTATAACAAAACCAATTTTACCGTAGGCTAATTGATATAAATAAGAGTCAAGTTCCTACAGCATATTTCTGGTCACAAAAACGTTTCCAAACCCCCAAATAAAGACCCAAACATTTCTAATATTAAACTTTAAAATAAATGGGAACTATACAGACACTTAAGAACGACTAATAAAAACAAGTAAGATCATTGTTTTCCAACCTGCTTATTTCAGTTCAGGGTCTTGAGTGGCCAGAGCCTATCCTGGTACCCAACCCTGGACAGGCTGCTCATTCCGGGCACCCAGACACCCATGCTCACTCAGACTGAGGCAGTGTAGACACCCCAGTTCACCTCAGGTGCACATCTTTGGGATGTGGGAGGAAACTGGAGGATCCGGAGAAAACCCACAGAGACATGGGGAGGACGTGCAAACTCCAGACAGACAGTGGTACCAGCAGGGAATAGTTTTTTTCCTTCTCAACGTTATAATGAAATGATGTTTGTTATTCGAGGATCTGCTGTACTCCTGACACCATTCACCATGTATTTGCTGACTGGTTGTTACACCTGAAGTTGTGTGTTGAGATCAATGGTGGACATGTTGAGGGTTTTGTGAACAAAAGCTTTTGCCTCTTTACAAGTCTTTTCCCTATGAAGCTGGGCTTAGGGGAAGCCTGTTCATCGGGCTACATGATATTCTGTGTGTAAGCTCTTCAAAGGCAGATCGTGTGCTTGTTCTCTGTACAGGACTCATCACAGGGCCTTGAAGATGGTGAATGATTTCTAAGTGTGAACTTGTAAGTTTCAGGACGTTTTTTATTTTTATTTTTTTAGCCTCCCCGAGGACATCCTTTGCATTTACCTTCAGATAGAGTGGGAGGGAGAGAGGGAGGAAGAGAGAGAGAGAAACATCGCTGTGAGAGAGACACATAGAGTGTCACACACGACCCCAACCGGGGCCGAGGACAAACCACAACCAAGGCACGTGCCCCTATTGGGAACCAAACCTGGGTCTCTCTGATCTGTGGGCCGACGCTCTAGCCACTGAGCCAAACCGGCCAGGGCTCAGGACATTATTAACTATCAAAGTGTCTTATGCTGCTTGAGGGGAAGGACTGAGAAGAGCTGCAGAATTTGAGGAGTAGGAGACCCCCAGACAGCTGTGAGCAGTGTCTGTGGTGTGGCAAGGGCTGAGGCTTGGCCAGGAGGCTGAACCCCGCGAGGGGAGGGGTGGCGTCTGGTCTGTCACCATTCCCAATGTCTGGCATCGTGTCTGGAATACAGTAGGCATCAGTAAATAACTGAATGGAAAAGTAGACAGTGTCTCAAGGTACTTGGCTAAGAAAGGAAGAGGAAAGGGTTGTTTTCAGGGGATTTGGGGTCAAGGGAAGTTTTTTCTAGGACGGGAGTGATTTGATCATACGGTCAGAGCACATGCGGTGCACAGAGGAAGGAAACTAAAGATACAGGGAAAGGGGGTAACTGAAGAAGGTGTGAGGGACAAGATCAGGAGGACACAGAGGTCCTTTTAAAAAAAATATTTTGTTAATCCTCACCCGAGGATATTTTTTCCATTGATTTTTTAGAGAGAGTGGAAGGGAGGGAAGGGGAGAGAGCGAGCGAGTGAGAGATGTGTGTGAGAGAGACACACATCAATTGACTGCCTCCCACACAACCCTGACTGGGGCCGGATGAACCTGCAACCCAGGTATGTATGTGCCTTTGACGAGGAATCACACCCACTACCCTTTGGTGTGCAGGCTGATGCTCCAACCACTGAGCCACACTGGCCAGGGTGTGCAGAGAGGTCTTGAAAGGAAAACAAAATGCATTTTCCTTGGAGATGGGGAAGATGAGGGGGTAGAAAAGACTCCCACTGAGTCAATCCTGCATTCACGTGAGTCCCTCATGTGGGAGTTCAGTTTTTTTAAAATTTTTAAACCATGTTTTTTTCCATGAAAAATTTCCTTGCAGTCCAGACTTTAAAATGTAGGAGTAAAGGGCTCCATGATTAATTCTGGAAATCCAACTTTATCACCATCATTATTTTTTTATTGTTGAAAGTATTACAGATGTCCCCTTTTTCCCCCCATTGACGCCCTCCTTTCCACTCCCACCCTCCTCCTGCCTTCCCCAGCTCAGTGTCCGTGTCCATGGGTTGTGCATCTATGCATATAAGTTCTTTGGTTTATCTCTTCCCACTCCTCCACCCCTCATCCCGCTGAGGTTTGTCAGTCTCTTCCCTACTCCCATAATTCTGGATCTCTTTTGGTCGACAGCTTATTTTGCCCATTATGTTTCAAAAGTAAGTGAGATCATGTGGTACTT